AGAGCATTATATGAAGGGATGTAAGATGTTTTTATGTAAGGTTAATAAGACAAGAAACAGGTGCTTCAAAATGTAATGTGTTACTTTTAAACCAACAAAAGTTTGGTGAAGAATATGGATCTTGAAGAGAGACTGGAAGGGGGCTTTTTATCAGAACTTATCTGTAATGGCATTACATCTACAACAGAGCCAGGGCAAACATCTGATTAATAAAAATGGGTCACTTGTAAATCAGTGGTGAATTGTCAGCTCTTTGAGTGGGCCGAAGGATTTATGATGATGAAAGAATGGCAATAAAGATGCATTTACAACTGAAATGGGACTGGAAGTAATTAAGAGCTCCTTTTAAAACATAAGGATAAATGAAGAAGTTGAGTAAGGCAAGTGTGCTAATAGGAAAAAAAATAGGCTGCATACTATTTATCTTGTTGATTGGCTAACTTTACAGATTTTTTAAAATGAAAGTCTTAGGTACAAACCATTACAGTGCCTGGAAATCAAAACATTAATATTGAAGAGATGACATGATAATGACTTTTGCAATCGAAAGGCATCTCACACTGGGAACGTAGGTTTGCACTGCAGTGATGGGAAGATAGTCAGGAAAGTTTTTCTGAACCTAAAAAGAAAAGAAAGAAAAGGAAATGACAGAGCCCTCAAGGACAAGTGAGATAGGAAGAAATAATTACTATTTAAATAAAAGGTTGAGATACATTTTTGAAAAAGAAGTATTGGAAAGGTGAAACTTATCAGGGTGCACGAGATAACCATAAGTCAAAGGCTGCTTTAAATAATGAGCTGTTTCCTTGCTTATTTGTAATACCATTTCATATAATAACATATCCAAGTGGTTAACACACAATGCTTCTGCCAATTGTAACAGAAGAGTGACAATTCCCCAACAGTCCCTCTTCCCCCTCAAAAACCTACTCCAGGGGGCTGGGAAACACATCAAAGGAGTTTTTTTCAACTATGTGGCATGCTGCAGGGGAGAGAGAAAGAAAGTCCCATCACACCTAGTGGTCACTGACACATTTGATTTAGGTCATTATAGTATAATATATAGGTAAAGGTAAAAGTATTCTCCGTTGACAAGGTTGTCAAGTCATGTCCGACTGTAGGGGATGGTACTCATCTCTGTTACTAAGCCGAAGAGCCAGTGTTGTCAGAGACTATTCTGTGATCATGTGGCCAGCATGATTGCGCAAAATGCCGCTTACCTTTCCACTGAAGTGGTACCTATTTATCTACTTGCATTTGCATGCTTACAAACTCCCAGGTTGCCAGAAGCTGGGATAGTGACAGGAGCTCACTTCACCCACTTTGGTGGGAGGATAAACAGCGTTCTGTGCAATCATGTTGGCCACATGATCACAGAGTAGTCTCTGACAATGCTGGCTTAGTAACGGAGATGAGCACCACCCCCTACAGTCAGACATGACTTGACAACCTTGTCAATGGGGAATACCTTTACCTTTACCTTTAGTATGATACCACCATTAAAATACATATACAGGCCGAGTTTCCCCTCCTTATCCCAAATGCTTGGAACCAGAAGTGTTTTGGATTTTGGATTATTTGGGGGGTGGTTGGGTGGGATATTTGCATATACATGATGTGATCTCTTGCAGATGAGACTCTAAACACAACATTCATTTATGTTTTGTATACATCATATACAGATAGCCTTAAGGTTATATTATACACCATATTTTAAATAATTTTGTTCATGAAACAAAGTTTATATACATTAAACCATTAGAAAGCAAATGTGTCACTATTTCAGCCACCACATGGGGACAATTTTGGATTTTGGAGGATTTCAGCATTCCAGACGAGGGAGATTCAACCTGTTGTAAACATTAAAAGTACTAACCAAGAAGAATAACTAAGGGGCTATACAGACCAACCAAAAGAGCCAGCCTGGGGGTGGAGTTGGGCTGTGGTGGCTGCACACCAGCTGCCCCTACAATAGCCTGATGTTGCTGTCACGCTGCCCATGCAAACAGATGGTGGGCAGCATCAGGGCGTTCCCTTGATGCAGTGTTCCTACATGTTGCACAAAAGGAGTGTTGAAAAGCCGCTGTAGCAGCAAGGGCAGTTTTTTGTTGCTCTTTTGCCAGCTTTTTTTAGAGTGGCAAATTGCCAGATCAGGGCCGTAGTGTGTGGTTGCCGCAGCCCCAATCCAGCAAGGAAAGGAGCTGTTTGTTTAGCCCATAACTAAGCAAGAAGAATAAGAGGAGAACACAGGTAGAGGCTTGATAGGACCACAGTTTGACATTAGGCATTTCCTCTACTGATAGCTTTCCCTTAGTACTGCTGGGAAAAGCTGGGCATTGAATTTTGTAAAGGTGTTGAGAAAATGGAATAACCAGCAGTCTACATGGTCAGCCACTGGATGCAAACATCCTGTTGCGGTTATTCTCTGCTGAATAAAATACAAAAGGACTGTACATCCAGGCAATCCAATTTCTGCAGCAAGAGAAATTGTATCTTGAAAACAATATAAATGATGCAAATATGTATCTTAGTTTTATTTTGCCCAGTGAATCTTCTAGTTATTTCTATTATGCATAATTTATTCAGGTTTTACTAGTCAACGGCTGGTGGCTGTACAGGCCATTGAAGTACAACCCCACTGAGTTCAATGGTTCTTTCTTCTGGGAAGTATGTAACTTAAGTATGTAAAGAATTCCAGCCTAAGGGCCTGACCCAAGCAGGTGGAATTCAGCCACACATCTGTCTTCTAAAATGTAAATGTGTATCTTTTCATGCATATCGTTGGAGCCTAAAGGGCTGGAAACAGAAGGGCTAGAAGAAAAAAGACAGCCGATTTTCAGAAAGACATACACACCAGATTTAAAAACTGTGAAATTAAAATACATTTCCCACATTTAATTTCAAATTCACCTGTTCCAGGATGCAAGTGACATTTTCCCCCTTAATTACACATTTAGGTACGTTGACAACTAAGGGCCTTGGCAGACGGCTAATAGAGCCGTCTTCCGGGCCCAGAAGAGGAGGGGCAGCCGCACGAGCGGCACCCCTTCCTCTTCCTGAGGTCGCCTTCAGAGTCGCCGGCCGTTCGCACGGCTGGCGCTCCGGGGATGACCTCACACCGCGGCGACCGCACGCGCCGCGGCGTTTGAGTCAGGGAAAGTGCGCCCGCTGCTTTTAGGGTGCACTTTCCCTAAAATCTAAAAGGAGCGCCAATTTGGAGCTCCTTTTAGATTCGCCGGAGGTGCGCCGCGGTGCGGAGGCTGAGCTCCGCCGGCGCTCCGACCCGAGGCACACGGGAAGCTCCTGTCTGCTTCAAGTTCTTAAATACAATGCATACCTGAACCTGCAGAGCAGCAGATGCTGCAGGGGAAGTTGAGTTTTTGATGGCCTTCTCAAATAGAGGTCAGAATTAATTTTCCTTGCCATAGAGCACCAAGTTGTTGAGCATGACAGGGACAGAATAAGAGGATTGATCAGGTGAAGGCACCTCCTCATATGCCCTCTTCAAACCTTACTCTGTGATCCACTTGCTCTTCCTCAGTGCAGTGTGAGCTTTGTTGGTCTCTTCGTGGCAGGGCAGGGTTTTTCACCCTTTACCTGTTTGTCTGTTTTTTTGCCCAGTGTGACATAGTGGTTTGAGTGTTGGACTGCAAACTCTAGAGAACAGGGTTCGATTCCCAGCTCAGCCATGAAACCCACTGGGTGACTTGAGCAAGTCATACACTCTCAGTCTCAGGAAGGCAATAGTAAACCACCTCTGAACAAATCTTGCCAAGAAAACCCCATGATAGGTTTCCCTTAGGGCTGCCATAAGTCAGAAATGATTTGAAGGCATACAACAACAACATACTGTATCTATAGGATGTTATGTGTTGGCTAAGGATGGTGTCTGCAAATAGGTTTTCACTTGGCCAGTACTAGGGGCAGATTATGAGTTTGGCATGCTTTTGGCTCTGGCTCTGGTTTTTTCCTCTACAGGTCTTGGGACTGAGGGGTCAGAAAGGAGACTACCCTTCGGGTTGAACTAAGGATTCACTCTCCCTTATAAAGTCTTGCAATTGGAGTGGGGTGTAAATGTCCTGGGTTACCTTCTAATAACCCATAGTATTGGATTGCCTTGGGGTCAGGTCACAGGTTGACACCTAGCCTCAGACCTGAATCAGGTTGCTCCTCTTTTTTTTTTACTCATTCCCAGGTTAAATAGTTTAAAAGGTTATAAGTCAACAAAGTGCCCCTTGTTCAACCCATTTGTCTGTATCTGGTCTCATTCATCAAATCTTCCCTTACTTCAAATCAGCACCATTGAGTTTTTATGTAAGTTAGATTAAAATCCTAAATGAGTTTCCGGACCTTTAGATCCAGAAGCTCTGGCTCTAGTTGTCTGGCCATGTTGCTCAAACTCTAAGCAGTGGACAGGCTGAAGTCATGGTGTTGTTGTGACAAAAGGAAACAAGAGGCATCAATGATTGTTTGGTCTGCATTGTTTGGTCTGCTTCTAGTACACATAGAAGAGAGGTCAGGGGAGAAAATTCAGCAGATGGACATGAGGAACCTGAGCAAGTGGAGCCTGGGCCTTTTGCGGAGCTCAGTTGGCTTCAAGGAAGAAGAGAGGAGGAACACGTAACCCTAGAGAGTCTCTAGTGGCCATCACTCAGCCAGGCCTGCTTTCATTTTTAAACAAGGAGATGGAGACAGTCTTATGTAGTTCACTGGGATTTGGGAGATCTAGATTCCAACACTCCACTTAGTGATGACCTTGCACCAGTCATTTGCTCTCCCAGGGTGCATCTACACTGAAGAAATAATACAGTTTGACACTTTAAGGGCTGTAGTGGCATCCTATGGAATTCTTGGATTTGTAGTTTTAATAAGTCATTAGCCTTCTCTGCCAAAGCATGCTGGTGCTTTGCAAAACTATAGATCCCAGGATTCTGTAGGCTGGAGCCATGGCAGTTAAATTGCATTATTTCTACACAGTAGATGCACCCTCAGGCTGACTTACCTCAAAAGGCTGTTGTGAGAATAAAAGGGAAAGGGGGAGACCATGCTGCCTTAAACTAGCTGGAGAAATGTGGGCAATATATGTAACTAAAAAATAGGAAAATGAGAGAGAGTGGGCAGGGAGTGATGGTGAAAACAGAAAATCTAGCTTTCTGCTAATTCCTATAGGAAGAACAAAACTTCTGTTTCCATGCAAGCCAGCTCCCAGAGTACTTATGTGAAGATGTGAACTGTTCTAATTTCTGAGAGATTATTTATTTAATGGGGAAAATGCAGATTTAGACACACAGGTTTAATAACTCATGCATGGAATTCACAGTGTAAGTTTTTTAAAAATTCAGAAGATATAAAAATAGAGACAAGATTTAATCCAGTTCAGTTATTATTAATGTAATCTCTCTGTGTATGCAAGGGCCCCCTTGAACACATTCTTTTCCAGAGGTTATTTTGCAAACCAATTTAACTGATAAAAGTTTTGGATCAAAGTAAAAGAGAAGTGTTTTTAAAAGTTCTTGAAGGACCTTATCACACTGGGGAAATCCTATACAGAAATGGGATTTAAAAGGTGGGGAAAACCCACAAAAGCGGGTAGATTTTCACATACATCATTTTTAAACTGTGCTTAGCCCAAACGGAAAGTAGTCAAAAGTCACTTCTTTTTACTTTCGGGATTTTCCAAAAGTAAAAAGAAGCAGCTTTTGACTACTTTCCATTCAGGTTAAGCGCAGTTTACAAACAAATCATCTGAAAATCTGCTTTTGCAGTCCCCCCCCCCCATTTAAAACCCTGTTTCTGCATGGGATTTCCCCCGTGTGATAAAGTCCTAAGTTGGGGTGTATTGATGAAAGCAATGTTTTGGGAAAAATGCATGGGTCTGAGAGCAAATCAAGCCTGAATCTCCATAGAAAGCAAAATGACCAAACAGAGGCTATCATACTTTGGACATATGATAAGACAACATGAGAAAAGACAATAATGCTTAGTAAAGTGGAAGGCAGTAGGAAAAAGGAAGATCACATTACAATCAAGAAAGCCACAGCCCTGAGTTTGAAGACCTGACCAAGGCTGTTGATGATGTGGACTCTGGAGGTCTCTCATTCATAGGATTGCCATAGGCAATTAACAAGACAAATTGGGAGTTGGAAGATCCAGGTTCAAATTTCCAGTGAGCCATAAAATTAAGTGGGACTGCATTCACACTGCAGAAGTAATCCAGTTTGACACCATTTTAACTGCCATAGCACAGTGCTATGTAATTCCACAGTCTCCAGAATCCCATAGCACTGTGCCAAGGCGATTAAAGTGGTTTCAACCTGGAATATTTCTCCATTGTGGATGCAGCCTGAATGATATTAGGATGGTCTCCCTCTTTCAGTTGGACATACCTCATAAATTTATAAACTGGGAGAGAAAAAAAGCCAAGCACACAGCTTTCTAACACATTGAAGGAAAGGAATATTATTGTAAATAATAAAAACAATAGCAGGATTTATTCCATGACATTACCAGGGAATATCCTGGGACACTCTTGGCCTGAGAACCAGCCTAATAACATCTATAAAAACACACACACACACACACACACACACACACACACACTTTGCCTTGCAGCAGAGAAATCTACCACTTTCTTTTCCCCTTCCATGAGAAATTTGTTCACAAACACAGAAACATACAGGATGCACAAATGCACAACCAGACCAAGCCAAATCAGAGAGAAAGCTAATGAAAATCTCTGCATCCTATCATCAAATAACTAATTTAATCAAGCTAGCTTGTCACAAACAATCCTTATAATGATCAAAAATGCCATTATTCACTGTCCTTAAAATCTCATCCATTATAGCTCTTCTGAATTAACCAACAAATCATTATCATCCATGAATGATGGGAATCAGCTTCTATCACTCTGTTGTTTTAGCTTATGCTGATCGATAAACATACATCTCTCTATGTATATAAACTACTGGTATTAGTATCTTTGTAAAAACTCACTTACTTAAATGGGTCATCAATGTATACAACCTGTAATTCAGTTCAGAAAACATTTCAATAGCTTATACTTTCTAATTGGTTCCGAGGATGAATCAGATGAAATCTTTAAAATTACAGCTTTTAATTAATCCTCCCCCAACCAAGCTGTTCTCTGAATCCTTTCTTAACAATTTCTGTGTAGTTAATAAGGTGCTTATTTTACCCAAGGGGACAAATTCAGCCCGGGACTAGTTATGACCTCAAAAAAGTGGCAACCACTTTGTTCTATGTTGAGAGAAGTTGCCTTTTTCCTGTTTCTTTGTTTGGATGATACACCAGCTGCATCCCTACCTAGAGCTGGAGGACCTAAAGATGGTAGTGCACACACTGGTAACCTCAAGGCTGGACTTCTGCAATGTGGTGTACATTGGGCTACCTCTACACCAAGTTTGGAAACTTCAGCTAGTTCAAAACATTGCAGACAAATTGATCACTGGGACATCCAGGAGTGCTCACATTACATCAATATTAAAATCACTCTACTGGCTACCAGTTAGTTTCCCGGTAAAGTACAAAGTGTTGGTTATTACTTTTAAAGTCCTATATGGTTTGGGTCCAGGTGACCTACAGGATCACCTTCTTCCATATAATCTTCCCTGAATGCTCAGGTCCTCTGGCGGACCTTTATTCCAGTCAGCCAGGACTAGGATGGTAACAGTCAGCCAGAGGACTTATTCTTCAGCTGCCTCTAGACTGTGGAATGACCTGCCAGAAGAGATTTGACATCTGAATCAACTGTCTGAATTCAAAACAGCATTAAAGACCAGTCTCTTCCAGCAGGCTTACCCAGATGATTTTTAAATGATGAATTTTAAATGTGGATTGTTTTAATATGTCTATATCTTGTTGTTTTTAAACTGTATACCTGTCCTTTTAAATTAATATGTATTTTAATTGATGGGTTTTAACTGATGTGATGTGCCTGTTAATTGTTGTTCCCTGCCTTGATCCATGGGGACAGGCTGGTAAGAAATAAATGTTATCATCATCATCATCATCATCATCATCACCATCATCATCATTTCTAAGACTATTCCACTTACCTAATTTTATCCTCTGTTTCATCACCCTCACCAGTAATTTTATAATATAGCTTCCCCCCTTGCCAGCAAGTGTGAGATCTACTTCTGGCCCATCCTAGGTTACTCGGAAGAAAAATGAAATTCTTTCTATAGGGAAGCACTGAAAAGCAGGGGCATATATCCAATTTGAGGTCTCTTTGTTAGGGTTGGGCAGACTGATTATCCAGTCTTGGCAGAAAGCGAGCTTGCTGAATACATGACTTTAACTCGAGCACATCCCTGTGTATGTCTGTTGTGTGCCTTCAAGTCATTTCCAACTCATGACAATCCTAACATGAAACTATCATGGAATTTTCTTGGCAAGATTTTTTCAGAGGAAGTTTGCCATTGTTTTTCCCTTTACTAATATTCTACAGAAGGAGAAAAAAGAGGAGGGGAAGGGAAAGGGAGAGGGAGAGGGAGAGGGAAAGGGAAAGGGAACAGGAACGGGAACAGGAAAGGGAAAGGGAAAGGGAAAGGGAAAGGGAGAAGGAAGGAAGGAAGGAAGGAAGGAAGGAGGGAAGGACAAGCACTCAGGCAGTCTTGGGCTGCATCCGCACTGCAGAAATAATCCAGATTGACACCATCTTAAC